AACACCATAGAATTCCAAAGTAGGTTTTGTTACACACAATAATCTCCCCTTAATTTCGTCTTGGATAAAACTCAATCGGGAACCGTCGGCACTTTCCGTAAACGAGTATTTTCTTGTTTCCCAATCCCGGTCTGGCGCTATTGCATTTCCCCTCCCCAAACACTACATTGCACATTGTTGGTGTTTTTTTTGTCTTCATAGTTGTTTTTTTAATAAATTAACGTTCCGCAAAGTATAGGTTTCTTTTCAGAAAGATTTTGCGAGCTATGGTCACGCCGATAAAAAAAGTTTCCAATTCCAATAACAGTTATTGACAGTGGTATGGTTATCCGTGATTCGAACTGATCGTGGACAACGTGCTAAAAATACCAAAACTGCTGATAGTGTAATATAACGTGGTTTTAAAACGCATCCGTGAACATAATTGCAAGTTTTCGTTGAAAGCACAACCGAGGAAATCCTTCATCGCAAAAAGTATTACTCGTGAAAATTAAAGGAACAACAGGAAGTCTTTGGAAGTTAAGCAAATTTACATAATGTGCAAAGATATACGTGTTTTATTTTCAAATGATGCATAGTTTCCCGTTACTATTTTGTCGGTCGTTCCCTGTGATTCTCATAAATAATTAAAGCTAACATGTCTAGTTACGTTGACATGGTCGCCGTCATTGTTGACACGACACGGAGGTAATGACACTCCACGTGAAACAACAATAAATCACGCTCAATTCATCAGTAAACACTGGATTTATGGCAAGGAAAACAAGCTGTAAATTCGGAACGTGGAGAAAGCCTGCAACTCTATTTTGTCTATCTAGAAATACGACACCCACTGTCCCTCTAAAACAATGTAAGAAACACTTATAAGGGTGCTCTGTAAATACCGGTACCCAAGTTATTAAAAATATATATTTCTCTTCTTGAGTATTTATTATGACAAGAACATATAATATTGAATTTTCTTCACAAGCGCCTGGGTTGTAATCCGCTACCGCGGAATAGAAAGTAAGTTTGTTCGAGATACCAGTTAACAAGACATACACCTTGATATATTGATAATGCTATTTCAGCCTTCTATTGAAAAAAATAGATAGTTCGTAATTTCCCCCTCATTTTATAAATATGAGGAATTCATTTGTTCAAGGAGAATACATGGGTATCAACCAAACCCAATTTTGAATTCAAACTCGATAACCCTATATGGCAAAATATGAACAGAGGACATATTTAGTATAAAGACCCTTGAGGAAGTACAAGGAGAAAGGGTCACGTGTTCCAGAAGGGGTAAGCGTCGTCTGATTAATGGACCCAATTTAATAGACCCCATTTAAAACTACGTCAAATCACGTCCTCAAAACGAGAATCAGGGTACTGGCGACGAAACAACAAGAAACTTTGAAATGTACAAATTGTCGATATCATTGTTATTAGTATGGTGTGATACTCTAAATAGGGTTTTATTTTTCGTTATTTATAATTCTTACAAAAATTAGATCTATAAATCGACTATTATAAGCAGTAGCGTTCTACAGCTTGGGCGCCTGTGATTATATTTGTCTGTTAGTATGCTCACAGTCTCAATGAAACAAAACTAGAAATACATGTGTAAATAGTATTACTTCGACAAAAAAAAGACTTTGCGAAGACAAAGTCTTGGTTATTCGCTTATTATGTACCATGTATTGTATGATTTTGAATCCGGTGAAAAGGATTTTTCAAATCCTGTACTGGAATAAACTTAACTATATAGCGATGAATATTTTATTTTCTAAATATGAGCATAAGTCTATACAGAAATAGGATCCCTTCGCCCCACTGAAACAAAGACAGACCGTCTCACTAAAACAAAGAAAGATCGCCCGCCCGCACCTGTTGTTTCTCAAATTTGAAAAAAAATCACGTCACCTAACAGAGCTCTTACAAAGAATGTATAGAATGTGCAGTAAACTGCAAAAAAAGGTGTTTTGCTCATCTGACGTGGATTGGCCGTGAACACAGGCGACGGTCCGGCGTCCGTCATCTGTCCGACCCACGTAAGTTTTTTTTCCTTTTTTAAACGGTATTAGAATCCGTAAGGCGTAGAGTATTGAAACTTTTCCTGGAGGTTTGTTCAAATGAATGACATTGACCCACTTTCAAGGTCAGAAGGGTCAAATGTGTTAAAATCCTCTTACAACTTCTTCTGAATGGCCTAACAAATGTCCTGTTTGTTTGTTAAAGCTTGTTTAAAAAGAGTTAACCCTTATCCTCTGTGAAAGTCACAAACACGATAAATTTGTTTGCCATAAATAGCAGGTGAGTATTTAGGCCAATTGGACCTCTTGTCACTTTTCGGTCTCTCTCTCTCTCTCTTCACAAAAATGGATAACGAATAGAAATACATAACACGACATGGTGATAAGATAGTGATGTATACAAGCTTCGTGTGCAGTTCGTGTGCAGTTTTCATTTTATTTCCTTGAAAATTTCTACTAAACATGATTAGTTTCGTGTTATTTCTTTAATATTGATTGTGTTAATCCTAGGATGCACATATCTTGTATTATATATTAAATAAAAAAAGCATGTAGCTCTTGTGGGGTTGACTTACTACGTCGCGCGTTCGAGGATTTAATGTTGCAAGTGAAATGTGTTGCTATAGATTATAATACTGTGTTTCATAGAAATATGAATATCTCGTTTTCTACGCAAAATATGTTTTCATCAGATCATAAAGTTGATAATTTCCTCTGTATAACTAAAGATTACTTCAAATTGTAATAAAGACAATTAATTTTGATACAAAACCGAACATTTTGGCTATATACATATATGTGTGCCGCGATGCTCTCAGCGTAATTGCTGCCTTCGACTGTCTTTAGCCGAGGGGAGTATTGGTTTTATATAATAGCTATATTTTCAATTATAGTATATCACTTCTATCTTCTTGTAATATGATGTATATGTACATGTAACTGTTCTGTTTCATTGTGTCTTGATAAAGGAGCGGATCGCTCCGAAAATTTGACAACCTAAACTTGTCCACACTGTTGGAATTACTTCTTTGCCCCATATATATTTGTACATATATTGTACATTATATATGTATTACATCCATATAATGTCCTGTGTTTCGTCTGTTCCGTCAAATATTGCCAAAATGTTACGAAGTCATATATTTTTCTTCTTACCAAATTCTTTAGAACTCTCCCTCATTGTATCGCCAAACTCATTTACAACGTCAAAATACCACAGGGCATGCTAAGGCAGTATAACGATATATTGCTTTATACGGGCATTCTTCAAGGTCACAATAACCGTAATTTGTTTGCTCACTTCCCTTTTCTTTTTTTCAGCAATGTCTTCCAAGGCGTCCTTCTTCAAATGACGTCAATTTTAGCTGTTGCATCCCCTACCCCCCATCATTTTTTTTTTAAATATTATTGCCGTTGTTCACACACTCCCCCCCGGGGACCCCCAAACAAATAAACCCTTACACGTGTAGATCTATACAAACAGAACAGCGTATGTCATAAACCCCGAGACCCTATATACTGATTGAGGGCTGATATGGGGGACGATAAAGGATCCGGCTTATGATAAAGGTGATCCAATTATGATATTCCCAAAGAAACATGTAAATGGGGACGGTTACTGGGACGATGGAGGGTCCAGCCATGTGATAGAATATGTTAAACCGAGGTAGAGAGAGGGGTATCCCGGAATGTAAGAGAGAGGAGAGCGAAACAGGGAGAGTTGTATTGATAATTTGCTTAGCAATAAATGGTAGCACTAGTGAAGGCTGATATAGGCGCGGGTCCAGGGTGTTATAAAACATCAATACCACAGGAACCTGATAATTTGTTACAGCTATATTTGGACCTAAATTAAGGTGTTCAAAGTAATTTTACACGCTTGGGGGGATTAGATCGATCATTATATGATCATTGGGGGGGGCATATTTATTTTTACAGAAAATCGATCTAATCCCCCCAAGCGTGTATAAATTATATAGCTGTAACAAATTCTCAGGTTCCTGTGGTCAATACAGCTGTTTCTCCGCCAGGGAGGTGGTTGGGTCATGACCCAAAAGGCACCCTGACATATACTTTAGGACACACAAAAAAAGTTTAAAAGACAAATATCTAAAAGAGGAAGAAAGTATTTGAAGTTTTTTTTATTAATTTTGTCACGATGAATTCTGTGGAAGGCGTGTGATTTCATACTGTTAACACTGAACTTTCACAAATACCTTCACGATATTTTCGCGATTGTTCTTCCTACAGCGGTTATTTGTATGGTTTACATTCTCAAAAGAAAAGAAGTCAGCTGGCTGTGTCTTGTTCAGTTTTGTCTGTAATGCGGTATATTTGCAATCACGAAAGACTCATCTCGCGAAAACTTATTGCTTTTCAGTATATCAAACATACAATAGTCTCGATATATCTGCTAAGAATCCCACACTGAATATATATAGATTTACTTATGTTTCATGACCGTTTAGATGAATATATTGCTTCTGATGAAACAGCAATGTGTTACATCGAAATTGAAAAGCCAATAGAATTCATTATTAATTAGGAAATTAAAACTAAACAGAATGATTCTTCCCGAAAATATTTGAAACCGAAATATTGATAATACAATGTAATCTAATGTTATGATATTTGCGAGCTGATGATATTTATGCACATATTTGTTGAAATGGGATCTCTTCAATTATGAAATATGGATTGCCGCTCCTTGCACAAAGCAGTCCAAAAATCTCTCATAAAGTTTACAGTGTATGTGGGTTGTTCTTGTTTGGTTGGAAAATTCGTCTTTGTAATGTAACACAAATCCCGATTCCTCTACTCTTAGTACAACATATACACTGATATATTCTGTATACAGCGGTACAAACCTACCGTAATCACATAACTTATTAATATATTTTATCTATGTAAATATAAAACATCTACATAACATCGTATAAAAAATTGCAAGTGGTTATGATTAATATAGGGAGAAAAACAACATACCATTCTTAATGACAGTCCCGTCCCAGCAGGGAAGTGTAAGACTATGGTATCTGCGCATGCCCGTCCCCTGGGTGGGGAGCCTTAGCGTCTGTCCATCCATTACAACAGGGCCGTAGTACGAAATACATCGTTTTTTCGACTCGGTTTCTTTCTCAGTCTTCCTTTTCTCAACCTCGGTGTCGGACGATGACGATGACGAAGATGAAGACGACGATGACGACGAGCGTTTCTTTTTCTTTTTTCTTCGTTTAGTTTTATCGTTGTCACTTTTTTCTTCGTCTTTGCTGTTAAAATTTTCCGATATTTTGCTGGAGCTGACACTTCTAACCGGAAGTGGGGGAGTTAAAGGAACCGGAAGTTGAGGAGTTAAAGGGGGCGTGGTTCTTTCATTTGCCAAACCTTCTGCAAATGACGCAGAAGCTGGGCGGATGTTCATCTCGGCATTCACAACCCGTCTCCTCACTACCTCCCTTGGTCGAAATGTTTCTGGCTGATTTTTTATAAGTGAATCACGACTTCCGCCCAGAATGTCGTTTTCTCTTGCAATGTTTTCACCCGTCACATTTTGGTGAACTGGGGTTGGTCCGTTTCCGGGGAAACTGTCACTACGCTCGACATCCTGTTGCGATCTACTGGAATTAGGATATTCAGAATTTTTCGGACTTTTGGGGCTTCCCTTTGACTTTCTCCTGAATTTCTCACTAATTGATCGAGCGATTTCTTGACCGTACGTAAAACTTAAAGGACGTATCCGCTTTTTTGTGACTATTGGAGTTGTTTCTTCGGAATACGCCCTCCTCATTTGCACTTGCTCCTCTTCCGATAACTTCCGGTACAAGCCCTGCTGCTCATCTTTCTCTTTGAAAATTGAATCCGAATATTTACCGAAGCTAGATCTTTTCTTCTTTAAGCTCATTGTATTAATTATTCTAATCACGGTTTATTCAAATGAGACCTACACTACGAAACAAACAGGTCGCGGTATAACTATATCAAACATGCTTACATGTGAGTCAGGAACATGTAAGTTCCAATATTATCTCGAATACAGACTTCAGCCTTCATAATCTAACAATGTTCCAATGAAGTATATCCTTCCCTCCAATCGAAAACACCCAAAATATTCCAGCTTAGGACAAATACCGGCGGGACTCGTGCTAAACCCAGCCAGGAGTGGTCTACAGGTGTGCCCCTCGGTGATGTGGCCAGGTGTAGGGCCTAGCTGTTGTTTTATAGTGAAATATTGTATATTTAACAAGAAAATTAGATATGCGTGATACTAGGGCCAGAGCCAGGGAAAAGCACGTCGTGGAATGTCTAATGCGCCAGGGTCTTTACATAGGACTCATAAAACAATAACAAGGTTATCATACACTGAAGCTGATCGGTAAAATTTACTGGTTAATTATGTTTACTGTGATAAAGGATGGAGTCTAGTGTATAGTATGTAAACAAGTATACCTATACTGAGTCTACATACACGTACACGGCGTACAGGTAAATATATAGTAAACATACGTGTACGTACATGGTTCAATTATCGAGTTTTTGTCTTCTTTTGTTTTACTTATGCATGACATATATGGTTGCTGTATAAAAGAAATCTTCATCTATTAAAATGATCTCCCATTTTACACAGTAAAATTCTAATTTCCCTAACATCTGTTAACCATAAAATGTATAAATTGAACAAGAACGCCTCACGCCATTTCATTAATTTGGTATTCAAATTGTATGACTATCAATGCCAACTGGAGTAAGGCTTTACATGATGATTTAGCCTCTCACATTGTACATGTGAGTTGTCTCCCTTCGAAAACGTTTAATTGTGACATAAAAATCGGAAATTAATCAGCCTTATTGATGTATTCATTGTCTTATATTTTTTAAATGTATGATTAAATCATAACAAAGTATAAACTACTTCTTTTATTCAAAGACGGACATTCACTATATCAACAGTGGAACTCTCTTGGAAAATTGAGAGTGGCATGTCACGGGTAGAAGCATGCTGGCATTTTTTTCCCCTAGTCAGTTTATGCCATTTTCTTTATATTCATATATACAGAAATTCTCGTGGTGGAGACATTTTTTTCTTTCTTTCGTTCGTTCATTCATAAATTCATTCATTCATTCATTCATTTATTCATAATTTTTTTAATGTAAAAAGGGAACTTTCACTCGTTTATAACTAGTTGCTTTAAAAATGGACAAGCAAGTCCAAGTTAGAAAAAACTGAACAAATTGAGACTCTGTTAGTTGGTGATACAAATGTATGTTCGTGTTCTACCTGGAATCATGAAAAAATAAAAGAGGCTTTACATGCAAGTTATTTCTAAGTCAATGCGCCCTTATGGTATCAACAGGATCGATATCTCATTGGTCGCTATGTTAGGTGAAAGCTCACTTTTCAACATCCTTATTGCTGGTCTACGTATGTAGATCGAATTTACAAGCATTCTGTTGACAATATACTCCCCATATGGACAACAACACGTTCCTTTTCCAGGAAAGAATAACTTTTACACCTGGCTAAATCCCAACTGTTAATTAACATTATCTTTACAACAAAAAACAGAAGGTAGAGTTCAGATTCCTCAAGATAGTGATTGTGCGTGGATACTTTGTTGTAATTTAGGTTTTTCAACAATGTGAATACCTCTCTCCTAAACTGTTTTTCCACAAATCAGATCCGTCAATCTATTACCTGATATGATACCTTATATGGAAATATATTTCTCTTACCCTGGACAGGTATTTACAATATCCATACCCCACATGTGTTTTTGTTAACAAACATGGCATACTCATGTCGGTGAAGGTATGACTGAAATGATAGGATGCATGGGAGAAAAATAATCATCCCCTACCTTGTGGGTTTAACAGAGAAATCACTAACCCTCTGGGTGGGTTTTTCGGTTGTCTAACCCTCGGCAGAGCCTCGGGTTAGATGACGGAAAAACATCACCCCTCGGGTAGAAGATGTCTCTGTCACAACCTAAAGGTAGGGGAAGATTCTATTAGTCTCACCCTAGGGTTGAGATGGGGGGATTCCCCTATTCATAACAATGGTACGACGGCACGTCAACAATACGATGACGTCACGTCAACAATACGATGACGTCACGTCAACAATCCATCAACGGCAAGTCAACCCTGAATTTAGCCTGTAACTTTAATATTACATTATGTATTATATAGGTGAATAGGGTAAGAGAAAAAGAATGCACCCCCTGTGGGTGAGATAGGGGAATCTTAACACAGCCTCGTGTTTGGTAACTTAAGAATCTACCCCTCTGGTTGAGATTCCCCTATTTCACCCCCAAGGGGATGAGAGATTCTATAAGTCATGGGAAATTTTCAATGGAATATTAAAGCAGCAAAGTTATATCTGATATGTCGTCTATCAGCGTGCTATATAGCAAATATATCGTTGACTAAACCTGAGACCGATATGTGACATATTTGACATATTGCATTAAGTGGTAGTGATAAAGAAATCATTTTTTCATTTCTTATTTTTGTATAAATGTTTAATAAATAAGTTTGCGATTAAAATTATACTAAAAATAGTGAAAAAAACCCACATAATCTAGAGACTTTTCACATATTATTATACTCTCTACTTTCATATTATATATTAGGAATTCAGAATCCTACAGTCATCAATATTTATGCATTGGTCAGTAGGAATATTTTTATTATTTCCTGAAAGATAAATAATTCAGAAATCAGTCTAGTAAAGTAAGATCTGTCAGGATGGCTGCGCATATGTACGTATACGTGAGTCATAAAAAAATACGACGAAACTATACTGGTATAATGAGGACATGGAAATTTTCTTCGTAGTCTCACTTTTTGACTAGCAACGTCATATATATTCTAAACCATGCGTTCTTTTGCACCAGACGATGCTCTTATGACTAACAAAGGGAAATGTAGATCTATATGTGACTCATCAGTGGCCAGACTCTCTTGATTTCTGGCGAGCCTCTATTAAATTAGCAGACTTTTGTGTGTACATTTACAAATCTACTTTGTTTTATTTTTAAAAAAAATGCATTTAAAAGCAGACGAAGTGGTCATTATGAACAGAGCCGTTTAGGCTTGAGAAGATGAGGAAATGTGGACAGTAAACTCGAACCCATATCAGGGGAGGCAACACAGACTCTCTTCTTTCCGCACAATTTCTTTCCGTATCTTTATTCCGTCCTATAATGACGTCATTTATCAATAATAAACATGGCAGCCCTCAATGTTTTGGTTTGTGAAAAATGGAATAGTTGAAGAAATAAGAGCAGCATGAAGGTAAACGTTAAAACCATCATTATAGTAAGATGCCTGATAATGCAACATGTATTCTTAAATCTTATAAACGTATTAGATATGCAAAACGCGTTATTTAGGTGCATCCATAGGGATGTTCTGCGATGACATCCGAGATGTTTGTTTGTTGACACAGACGATTTGCAGGCTGTACCGACGATGTTAGCTTGCAGATATTCGTGGAGTGCAAAGAAGTGTGTTATGGGCTTCACAATTTGTCATCCTTAATATAGCCTAGTCCACGTTTCATAAATTACGATGACACTTTAATTTGGCAATATAATTATAGGACGAGACGGAAAGTTTCACCAGGAAATTAACACAATACGGGATAAATGTCGACATTAACAGCGGAAAGAAATTGTATCCTGTATCAAAATTAATTATTTTTGCATTATATTTGTGCCTACTTTTCACCAACCCATACATGTAATCATATTTGTGTTCTGTGTGAACTGATGTTTTGTTGTAATTTATATGTCAGTCTGTCATTATCCTGACATGAGCATGAGCCTTTAATTAATAACAGCTGATATACTATTTATCTAAGTGGATCATGTTCCCATCAGGAGAAGATTCTTGAAAGAACTTTATCTAAATCCTCGTTCAGACTTGACGATAAGAATGGAGTTCTTCGAAATCAGCCTTAATAGGAGCTTGAGGTGACCGAGTAAATTTTGCAGCTCTATAAACTAGAATGTAAGTAAATTAGAACAAGATTATTAAATGTGGATTCATCTGATGTTACTTATGTAACGAGGAGAAGCAAAATGCATTGCCAGACCGTGGTTCAAACCTGGGACCCTCCTAACTCTAGACATTCCCTCTACCAATTAATTGAGCTACCTAAGCTAGTTGCCGACGAACAACCCAGTCCAGTTTTGCTACATTCCTCCTTCCTTTTTACAACCCAGGTTTGGGTATCCCTCCCCCACCCCCCCCCTTCCCAATCATACACCAAATGCTTGAAACAACGGTCAAGGGTTGGTCACCGGTACCACTGTAACAGGAGAGGAAAAATGCATGGCCATGGAGACTGTGGTTTGAACCAGCTGAGACCCTCCAAACTCTAAATGGAAGCTCTACCAATTGAGCTACCTCCATGGTCCCTCCTTAACAATAAAGTCTTTGACTTCAAAGACATACAAGGCTCTATACCACCCTGGTCGCCGACGTTCGACCCAGTCCAGTTCCGCTACATTTACCTTTATTTACAAATCTCTATATGTTATTCTATATGTATAAATTGTGAGACTGCAAATGCTATGAGTTGGACTATTTGTTCATATTTTTACAGCGCAAATAAAATTAATTAAATATTACAATTATATCTATATCGCTACATTTTTAGTCTATTATAAATAGGTACATTTCAACCCTTGGGCATTACTCTATTGGAATGACACAAGATACAGGAATTTTTATATGTTTCATGTAACTGTAGTTTTTACATGTTAGTTTAGTAGAGCTAGAATCTTATATATAATGTTCAATGTATATTAGACAATATTATAAACACTAGAAATTTATCACATTGCCAATTGGTAGAAATGGCATCACAGATAGCAAGATCAAATAGCATTTAGCATACAAAGTCATACAAAAATAAAACTCATGTGGCATATATACATGTACCAGTAGACAAAATATTAAAGAGATATTTTAGTAAAAGAAAATACTGAATGCTTATACTGATATATGTAAATAGAATTTAATCAAATTGCTAAAAATAATACACAGGAACAAAACAAAATTAAAAAAACCCATAATTTTGGAGAGAAAAAAAGGCCTAGCAATTTTTTTTTCATGTTTTGACTCAACATTTTCAAACTATTTACCAGGTATAAAGTGAAAATGTTCACATTGGCAATTTGACTACGTGTATACTGTATATATTATAAAATGTATACGGTATGCAGAAATGGACAAAAAGCTGTATACATAGCTACATGTATATACATTTTATACTTTTATTAAATGTAGAAACTGTAGAAATGGACAAAAAGTTTTATTGCCAGGCCAAAAAAATATGTGTTTAGTGTTCCCCATCAGGCACCTGAAGTTTTTGGTAGGTTTCTAGAAGGTTGAAAACATTTCTGAAAGCAATAATTTAATCTCCGTTAATTTTTCATACTCCTGTGTGTTGCAGCTTTGAATGGGCGGGGCTCATGGGTGATCATGATGACAGAGAAAGAGAAGTGGGCGTGTGAATACTGCACCTATGAGAATTATCCTGTCACCACGCGATGCACTCTGTGCCACGCCCACAGACCGCCAAGCTTCATCACAGACAGACACAATGAGGAGCAGGACATTTACAAGATGGCCGCCACCATGGGCCAGAACAAGGAAGGAAGCAGTAGTAATCTGTCATCCGGGCCCAGTAGTGCTAGCTTTGACCCTACCAAGAAATGGGCTTGTACGTCTTGCACGTTCCTCAACTGGCCCAAGACTACAAAGTGTTCTCAGTGCTTGACATCCAGATCCCGTATGCCTGTCTCTGGTAGTCTTAGTCCTGCGATTGAACAATCTCCACCCATCACACTATCAGGAGCAAACACAGAGAGTTTAAGAGCTCGAAGGAAGACCACTCAAAACAAAGAGTTTCCCTCATCACCAAAGGCAGCTAAAGCCATTAATACTAATGATATTAATAACAAAACCCTTGCAACCTGTAATGCAAAGGTAAAATGGACATGTAAAACATGCACATATGAAAATTGGCCCAAGACAGCACGGTGTGTCATGTGTGGTCTACAGAGGGGAAGAACCTCGCCCGAAATATCCTCCACGGCCACAAGCTTAGAAAATAATTCATCAAATGTATCAGGGTCCTCACTCAAGCAAACAAGTGTTATAACAAAACAGACCTTGTCTCCGACCAGCAGCCTAGCAGCTGGTACCTCTGGACGTGAGCTAGGGATGCGTTCACCAGATATCGGCACAGCGTGCTCTTCTGCAGGGTTACATGTTCAGGAGGAGAAACGTGAAACTGAACGTAAACTTAAACAAATTAGAAATTGCATGCAAGAAGATGATTGGTTGTGGCTAAGTGCATGTAATGGTGTCGTCAATGGTGACTCTCGCCCAGTAGAAACATTTGTAGGTGCAGGAGGAGATCCTGCTCGACAGTTAACACAGGAAGAGGTCACTCTGCTCAACAGACCAAGTGCATTTGAAGTAGGATACACTTTAGTTCATCTTGCCATCAGGTTTCGTCGTGAAGACATGCTTGCAGCCTTGCTCACTAGCACTGAAGCCCCTTCGAAAGCTGTTAAGCGACTGCCGTCTCATCTCAGTGCTGATCTAGCCTCGGAAATCCGGCGCGAAATATTGGCCATGCTTCGACAAAGAAAGGGAGAGTTCCCATGCCAGTTTTTGACTGATTGTGTTACATTTGCTATACCAACAGGTATTGTGTAAACTTATGTACATGTTACATCCATGCATTTGATAAATGGTGGGAATCACTTGTTCAAAATAATTCTAAAGGTATAGAATTTACAAGAAATTATATGAATTAAATAAATATACACATGTATTTTCAATGTTGATAATTTCAACTTATTGTTAGTGTTTGTCTGTAACTTATGCAAAAATACTTGATATCATTTACCAGGTACACTCCCAAACCAATGAGGGTATACATACAGCTAGTATATTTTAGAGTAAAGATACATATTCAATTTTGTGAAGTTACCCAACCTAAAAATTTAAAAATCTGATAAAGAAACTGATTGAAATATCATGTACAGCCAATGGATTATAAAGTGTTGTGCCTCTTCTGTTGTGTATTTGATTTTTTCTTTCTTTTTCTACTGTACAGGTGTTCGAGACTTGCCAAACACTGTCCAGAGTCAACTGTTTGATGAAATCATGGATGGAGATGTACAAAAGGGTATTATATATATATTTGTTAGATTTTTGCCAGTTAGATATTAAATTCTGTCAGCTTGATGTAACTAATATCTTTTACATTGTGACAGATATATATCAAAAGTGAAATTGGTCAAAGTGTGAAAAGATAACCTTTGGTATTGACCAATCAGAATGGCACTTTCCATTCACTTCATTCAAAGCTGCAGAATTTCAGTTCAGACACAGGTGAAGTGGTGGTAGAATAAGTGGTTGGTTTTAAGGTACATTTTGCTGCATTCACCAAGGTATCAATTTACCTACATAATTGATACCATTTATGAAGCAAATCTAATCTAATCTAATACAAAATGTAATAGCAGAAAACAGTAGAATTTTGTTGAGTAGCCCATTCAAAATGGCATGCTGCTTTGTACATTACTGTTGTCAAGCATGATGTCATTAGAATATGGCACCAAACATTATGCTATCATATCCCCAACTGTAACATTTTCTTCTTCGAACGTTTTGATTGTAATAAATTGAAAATTTCACGGTTTTCCCTGTTGAATTATATATACATGTATAAGTCCGTCGTTAATCTTATTTTTTCTACATATATATATATATATATTTGAATTATAATAATATAATTATGTAACAGAATGGACTGATATTTCCACGCGTGCAAAGTATGTGAAACATGTAAAATTGTTTAATTGTGATTATTTAGCCTGTTGATGTGTTCTGTAAAAAAGGCCGTGTTTGTTACAGAATTGGAGGATGAGTATGTTGTAAACTGGAGTGTGGAGCTGACAGACAGATTGGGCAGTCGTTTGTACGCACTATGGAACAGAACTGCCGGTGACTGTCTCCTAGATTCCATCCTCCAGTCCACTTGGGGCATCTTCGACTCCGACAACACTCTGAGGAAAGCCATGTCCAACAGCCTCAGTGACGCAGCCATGATGTAAGTACGGTCAAGGGGAGACAACTTGGTGTCATACACTACACATTGTCCGGGGGTTAGGATACTTTATGCAGTGAAAATTAATCTGATGAATATGTGGTTTCAAGGTGGAAAGGTTTGTGGTTAGAAATTATTAAAATCCAATTACAAATTATACTGATCATGACTTTGTGAATAATTGAAATACAGAAACACAATTCTCAGTATTAAATCAGCTGTTATATAGCAATAGTGTATAATTTTTATGCAGACACAATGTTTTTCTCCCCTATGTACATTTGTAAGTGAATGATTTAACTTAACAGGTTTTATCCTCGCTGGAAAGAGTATGAAGCGATGCATGCAGAGATGCTTCAATTCACGCTTGACGAAGCTCAGTGGCAGAATGACTGGGCAGACATTCTCAGTATTGCTTGTACTCCAGGTAAATCTAATGTACTGTAGATACATTTACTATGCGCGAGATAAATCTGATTTGCTGAAGAAAGATGTTATGTACTAGTACTCCAGATCATTCTAATGTATTACAGATAAATCTAATGTATTAAGATAAATCTTATGTAAAGCATGTTGAAATATCTTTTACTCCAGTAATCTAGTGCTCTCTAGATAAATATCGTGTTCTTAAGATTGATCTTGTGTATTTCAGATAAATAATTGACTCTGTACAGATGCAATTGTGGTATGTTTTAGTGCAGTGTTCAAATGGTGTAAAGTCCACCTCTTGCAGAGTTATTCATCATTTGGCTCATGTCTATTAAAGTCACGAACAATTTCTTGTTTTATAACAGGTGCTTCTTTAGAACAAATCCACATTTTTGCCATAGCTCACATTCTCAGGAGGCCAGTTATAGTGTACGGCGTAAAGTATGTTAAAAGCTTTCGTGGGGAAACTATTGGACTCGCACGGTTCCAAGGTATGTCTGTCAGCCTCAAAATAGATAAAAATTTGAACAGATTTGATAAAAATAGCCATTTAGTCAGCCATTCCTTATTTATAGTGATTGAAACTTATGAGGGGTGGAAGTTTTATTTAGACCAGAGCAAACTAGACAAACAAGTTAATTCTTTTGATGATAAAACTAGCCAATCTGGGTTCAAAATAATCCTATGTTTATTGTAAACAAAGAAAAAAAACCCAGCCATTTTGATTTACTCTGACACTGTTTTTCCATTCCTTTAATTAGTGTCTATGGGGAAAGGATCCATTATTTACTCCCTTAAAATGGGAGAATGAGAATAGTTGTAATGGTATTTTTACATGAGATATATGGTAGTTACACATATATTCTTTTATGGCACGTATATGCTAATGTTTTAGGTGTGTACCTACCTTTGCTGTGGGAGAGAGGGTTCTGCTGGAAGTCCCCTGTCACTTTGTCTTACACACGCGGCCACTTCTCAGCCCTTGTTCCCATGGAAATGACCACAGGTGATGTCATCGGGGCGGGAGCAGATATTGAAACCTCAGAGGAGGAACAGATGACTTACCTTCCTTTAGTTGATGTAGAAGGGAAATTACTTACAGTGCATTTCTTAAGGACATCAGAGGTAAGTGTATGAAAAATCCACATAGTATTCATTGTATGAACTAAGTCAGCATTGTAAGCAAACATTGGGATCAGCAGTTAACTGGTACACAAATATTTCAGTCAAAACTATTTGTAGATATCAGTCACGCACATTGTACAAATATCTCAGTCAGCACTGTGTACAAATAAGTCAGTATTTTGTTCAAGCAGCTGAAGTCAGTATTTTGTACCACAAGCAGCTGAAGTCAGTATTTTATACAAGCAGCTGAAGTCAGTATTTTGTACAAGCATCTGTGTCAAATTCATTAACAAATATCAGCACTCTATATAAATATGTTTAAATGTTATTTTGTTATATATACTTATTTAGAATGGAAAGTCTTATTACATTGTAAAGGTCATGACTAAAGGTCAGTTTCCTTATGTTAGGCTACAAACAATGTTTCCTCATATATTGCCATCAATGTGTGTTGGTCAATTACATAGAACGTAAAGGTAAACAGGACTGACCAATGATATACACGTATTAAGAAAGGTGAAAAGTATTTGTTGTTTTGTAGTTCATGGATCACACTCCATGGGAAATTATAAGACCATGATTGGTCATTTTAGCTGTGTTTCTAACAACATATTGTGTTTGTGTCGGTGTTGTTATCTCCCCTTATATTAATAATGGTTTCTATTGTTTGTCTGTAACAGGTAGGTCGAGAGGAACCTCTGTTACGGGAGTGGCTAGATGTCTCTGTTACAAAGGGTGGTAGTCTTGTGGCCCTTCAGAAAATAGGGAAGCGTCCTCTACTGGTCAAGCGGATGTTGGAGGACTGGGTTGACCACTATCGCCAACAGTCACACTCGGCCGTACCCTCAGGGACCCCAGCCAGTCTGGCCTGCCAGAACTTCTCCAGTGACGGGGAAAGCGATCAGGAATAGTCTTTCATTATCACCAAGTTTTACCATATGTTGGATGTTTTTTCACAAACCTTTTATTTTTCATTAACCAATTGATTTGTTGCTATTATATATATGATATAATAAAGGAGCTAACTACTTTGGATTCTACACTTACCTAAGTGTTCAGGTTTCACATATCACTTTTCTGTGGCTGTTTACAATAACTACAATTGACAAAAAATGTAGGTGAACTATTCACTGTTGACTTAAATCGGGTCTCAATTTTTCATTTTTTTGTTCAAAATTGCAATTGATAGACATTTTAGAAGTCCTGATTGATGAACAGTTAATATTCAGTTGAAATCGCGATTCCATTCAATTTCATACATAATAAAGAGTCAAGGTTGTGTTCATCTGAAGGACATACTGAAGCCAGGGAATTTTCATTGCAATTTAACTTTCGCCTTTTTTGTTGTCCATAATGAGGGCGAATGTATCATGACAGTGAAAATATGTACACAACATACAATACTTAGCAATAACATGTTAAGGACGAAATTAACACTACATTAAAACGGATTCTACCAGGGAAGGACGAGAATTTGACTGGATGATGGTTTCACGGCATACAGTATTGGATCAAGCTTTATTAATAACGAATACCAGAATACACAGAATGTTAAATATTGTTGTTATCATCATGCACATAATAATTAGTAATTAATATTTAAAAAAATATATACATGTATATGGTCACCAAAAGATTACTTCCTGTTAAGGATCCCTGTCCCACTGCACTATTTTTTCCCCCCGTATATATACTGGTAGTACCCTTTCCTTAATTTTGTTTTGGACATAACTGTAGCACAGCTGAGCTAGGTCACTTCTGTTGATGAGTTAACTCAGTCGGTTAGAATGAAAGTATAAAAAAGTCTGAAGTCAAGGGGTGTTTTTGTTTAAATTGTCAAACCTGTCGGACCACAGTTGTTGTTTATTAAATAAGGTCACACTTGGTTATCTGATGCTGCTTTAAGGCGAGCCTTGACAAAGTCTTGCAAGGCCTGCATAAACATTTGCAGGTTCACTAGGATTTATATACCAAATTGTTACATTTATAAATGGTCAAACTGGTTGTTCCTCATAAATGAACAGGCCCCAGGGTTGGAATCCCAGCCTAGTACCACTAAATTTGTACACTCATAACTTTGTTGTTGGTTGTTTTGTTAATTTCGTCTTTATGTTTTCCATGTAGCCCTGCAAGGTATGGCATTTCTTTCTGAATGTATTATCATAGCCATAGTCATGCTAGAAAAAACAAGTTTCCAAGGCTCAGTTACAGATTTTGGTAGTGGTCGGGGATCCTTAAGATTCTAACAATAGCTTGATTGAATAAGTCCTGAATAAGGGAAGATTTACCTCCCTTTATCTCATTCTGTAAGATCTAGAATTTACAGCACACATAATGTAAATTTATAATCTATATTACCATGACCTTATTTTAGTACATTGTGCTATGGTCAAATTAAATTATGATGTACTCTGTAACAGTAAATGGTGAATGTAAACACCCAAGTATCAGTGGTGTACATAAATTTCAAAATCGACATAAAATTTCCCCAAATACCTGAGTGTAATATTGTATAGTGGGTTATTCTTGCAGGTCTTCATTTTCAAAATTTTACTCAAAGTGAACAGATTGAATTTACACAAATAAAAATTTCACATTCTGAAGATAAGGAGTTTCTTAATTACACAGATGTTCCTGATGTCAACTTCCAAACACACAACAAATCCTGATGTTAGATAAAAAAAAACCTGGCTGGTCTCAGTTTAAACATATCAATTAATCAATCCCCTGTTCCTACCTACGAACTGATCTCGGTGCTTTTATACACCTGCCATAAAACTTGCAATATCTTTCAAACAATCATATTTCATGTATTACCAGAATATTTGAGTTATCCTGCAGGCATGCTTGCTTGATACTTTACTGGTATACAAGATTAGTTAGTAGATATTGGCTGTATAAATATTTACACGTCATATATTATTTCATGGATCAAAATTTTGCAATCATCTAAATACCCTGCAAAAATAACCGGTTATACGTTTAATATTACAATATTGGAAAAAGCAGAAAGATTAACATTTGTTTCTTAAGTGAGTGTTTTTACACCCAGTCATGTATTTAAGATTGTAGTTCTGTGTTCTACATGCATGCAGTCAATGTCAGGAGGTCTTAAAATTGGCTCCATGATCAACAAATGGTATTTTGTTACCTGGGTAATCATGATTTTGTCATGTCCACATATCAGACATTTAAAGGTACATGAAGTCACACCTTTATTCAGAGACAACCCTTGATAAGTCTGTTTAGTGGTCCTCTATTTCAGGCGGTCTCTTAGTACAAGTTCAGTTAACATAAAATGATTACTTTATACCGGGAAATTTTCGGCCTGTCAAACTTTCGCCCTTTACCTATAAAATCCATATTTGCCTAGTGTTAATTTTGCCCTCATGTTTAATAACTATATACACTTTGCTTTTTACTAATATTTGCTGTAATGATAAATCTGCCCTCAGTATGAAGGCAAAACAGGGGAAAGTTATACTAGGTCTAAAATTTCCCGTTATATAGTAAACTGCAATGGGGTGTTTTAAAACCGGTCTCTTACTTCCAAACTATCCTGTGTTTTTATACATTTATTAAGTAATCATGCACTTACCCATAAAATTGAACTAGATACTCTACATAAACAAGCATTTAAGATGTAAAACTACATAGACTTATCAGAAGTTTATGATCTTGAGATCTCATGATTTGGGGATATTAATTTTATCTCTGGGTTCTGTTTCTAGTTTTAAGAATATTTTATTTGGGTTATACTTTGTATTGCTTATGGCTTTGGTTTTGTGCTGTGATATTTTCATATTTATGTGGGAAAATACTTATTTGCACAGTGTTTAATTGATAGCTTTGAGACTGTAAGGTATGAAGTGTTATATGACATATGTTATGTTCGCTGTTGAATTTGCATATTCACTTCATAGCGTAAAATTGCAAAAATATTGCTGCTTTGAAAAATAATCTTATACACAGTATTTAAACATCACCTGTAGGTGATTTATCAAATCTAATAAGCTTAATATATAATCGTTCATCAAGTCCAGTTTTCAAGTTAATTACTTTTCCACTCAGCTTAAGATTATTTTTATCTGATTTGTGAATCCCAGAACTTTTTTAATAGTTATATATAAAAAAATATGTTATTCAAATTTAATTGTGATGCCTGAAAAAAAAGGAGCATCTATCGGGCATTAATTGCCAACATGTTAATATGCGTTGGTATTTTGTTGTTGTTGTACATGACACTTAAAAAATCTGCAAAATCAGTAAAGAGTTGTATATATATATGAGTACGCTCTTAGACTAAAGCTGTACAATAGCAGATTTCAATCTTTAAATGCTGGTGGCATTTGTTTGGGAACAGCACTACAAATTACAATACTATTCAGCCAATACCAATGGAAGGAAGTTTTGGGAATATGTGGTTGTGAAAAGAGAACTACATTTAACAGTATTTTTGTTTATTTCACAATCAGTTTGAAAAAAACATAAGTCCTAATTACCTGACAAATCTAGGTAATTTTGGACAAAATACTCACAAGTTCTGTTGTTGCACAACATGTGATAAACTTCTAAACTACATTAATATGTGAACTCCAAATATAACATCAGCATACAGTGGTTGCCTGGACTGCTTTTGTTTCCAGCAACTTCATCTCTGAACTACTGAAAGAAATCTCACCAAAATTAAATTCATATTGTACCTAAAAATGGAACCAACAACCCTTTTTCCTGTAGTTGGTGAATTAAGGTGAGGAAATGGGACTCTTTGACCAAAAGACAGGATCGAGGGCACTAATAAAGAATGTTTTGTATTTCCTAAGCATTGATGTATTCATACGGTGCTAATCTTTGAGCTTACAAATCTTAAAAAATTCTAATTATATGCTTTAAAGATTTGTAAAGCTATTCACAGCCAGACCTGACTACTAGGGGGAACATTTGCTTATTTTATGGATGTGAATATATTTTGTATGTTAGGAATTTAACACTACCGAGCGGGTATTTCAGTGATAAAAATGGTGTCCATAATATTGAAATTTGTCATAGCATTCCAGGATGATCGGACTCCACTACAATCTAAAGGGACTTGGGTGTTTGGCATGAATTGCATTTTATTTTCTTGATAAACGTACAAATTTAAGAATAGGTTTAAAGTTATCCATTGGTTTAAGATGTAGTGAACATATATCTGTCTATATACAGATACCTGTATCAAATTTTCTTATACTTGTGCACTTCAGGTATTGGCCAGCTTAACTGCAATAATACCCTTGCCCTTTAGACTGAAATGCATGTGCTGCTTATTCTTGAATACTTTTAAACAGTCCATGTCATAGTTGTATATTGCACAGAATATCGAGATAATTTACCATAAAAACTAATTTGGGCTACTTACATTGTAGACTATAAGTAGACTATAAGTTTTTTCAGTTATTATTTGCTGGCTTATTTTCAAAGCAAACTTACTTTCGAGATAGATATGTTTTCTAATCAGACTTAATATTGAGATTTTAGGGTAGCTCCAATCAATCCTTTTTTTTTTTAACTCACCCGGGTTGAAAACTTCGCCGTCAGTAGGTGATCACACATACATAGAGGGTAGAAACTTACCTTATGTAACTGTAGAAAGATAAATGTCATACAGCAGAGAAAGCCTTGAATTTTCTTTCTTAGTTCGATGCCTCCTCAAAGAAAGTGCTCATTTTGATGAGATCCCCCCTCCCCAAACTTATGTTGAGATAGTCTGACTTATGAAAAGCATTATACTGAGATCAAAAAAAGAAGGAAGTAAATATATTTAGCAAGTTCTGTAGGAGATTTATGAGCAATTTCTTTGAATTTATTGAGAACTGAGGAGCATTCACATTGTTTTCAAAATCAATACACAGTAGTGTATCACAACACAATCATCACTTACTTTAAAAGACTTGAATTACTGGTAAACACAGTTTAACATTATTTGGGGACTTTGAAAGTTGCATTTATACTAATTAATTTTAAGCACATCAAAGTTATAGAATTGACGTTAAAAAGTGAAGAGTAGTTTTAAATTGATATATTCATAATGTTGTGAAAATGTAAGTGGATTCCTGTCATACAATGTCTAGAGTTACAAATCTGAACGATTAAATTGTTGTACGTAAATTGTTAAGAAAATGACTCTATTTTTTCCTTGCTCTGCTATGTATGTGGGAGGAAGGTGGAGATGGTTTGGTTAAAATGGAAATCTTTAATCGATTTTCCTGTTACCCTTCTTAAGCTCAAACTCAGATTCTTTGTTCAAGCTAAATTTCTTGTTCTAGTTTCTGGTGATCAGTGAATAAAAAAATCATATTTTGTCAACATTTTTGGAAATTTTTTAGAGAGTTTCAATCTGTTTAAAATGTTCATACTTAACTATCTGACTGTCACATGAGTCACAAGAAATTTGGTTGAGCACAGAATCCTTGCTTGAGATGAGAAGAGTATCATGAATATGGGCCCAGAACCTGGTTGATTGATAAATTTTTATTTTTAATTTTTAGATATCATTTCCGAGAAATGAAGGATGCAGTATGCTACCTTACTGCCACATGTGTCCCCTTTAATTTCACTGATCAAGTCTATAAAATACCTATTATGAATACTAAATTTGGACTTTTTTTTCACACATGAGACAAGCGCTATATGCCTCTATCAAAAACACTCCAGTAATTATTATTCATAAAATGTGGTTAAATTTAATTAACAAATAAATTCAAGGGGAATAACTCTCATGTAAATCTAATGAAAATCATGGGTATAATGTGTCGGATAGCATGTAAATTTATGTGAAATTTATTATTTCATTTAATAACCTGGAAAATTTGTTGCTGTTTTTTTAAACCAACAATGTATGAATGTGTGTGACTCCATTGTATCTGTGCATATATAATGTAGGTACATTGTGTTATCATTGTTATGATTTATTATGTTAAAAACAAAATGACGACAACACTTTTTCGAAGTCACCTACGAGCACCGTGATATTTTTCAATTATGTGGTTTGATTTTTAATATGTTTATTGTAGTTCTTATTTAGTGTGACAGTGTGCAATTAATTTATCACTTTGTTTAAAAAGGGATAATTCTAGTATATATATGATTTCACCAATATCCCATTACCCTAGTATTTTGTTATTATGTGGAAGTGGTATGGCATTTTCACATGTTTCTATACCTTTATTTCAAGTTAAAAAGATAAGATCATGACATGAAAAAAAAACCTTACACATATTTGTGAATAAAATATATTCGTGTTTGATATTTGAGTTGGTTTAATGTTTTTAGTGGTGAGCTTATGCCGTACTGTGGCATTCATCGTCTGTCCGTCAATTTTTCCTTTAAAACCCTAAACAGCTTAACATATCAGGCATGTCGTTGACATAGATTAGGAACAGTATTGGTCCTAAAACACTCCCTTGTGGGACTCCACTTGTGACTGGTTTTGGGTTTGAGGTTGTACCATTTATCGTTACTCGTTGTACCATATTTTCCAGGAAGGCTTTTGTCCAGTTTAAAATCCACCCCAATTCACGAGGGCAGAAAGGAGAGGACTAGTGAGGGACAGGTGTTGCTGAGAGACAAAGCCAATAATTGGAAATAGTTGCAGTATTATAGTAGTTTGTAATAAGTTCAGGCCCTCTGGGCCTCTTTTTTTATAAACAGAGGCTGTGCCGCCCCCAACTTTTACCAACTTTGGTGAAGAGCATCTTTTCCATCCTGTGAATGTTCCACATCCCCTCTTTAGTCAAGAATTTTCAGCTCACCCAAGGGAGTGATAGATTCTATTAGTCTCGCACTAGGGTTAAGACGAGGGGATTCCCCTCACGCTATTCATACCAATTGTATGACGTCATGTCAACAATACAATGACGTCACGTCACAATGCATAAAGCCTGTAATGTTTGCATTACATTATTTATTTGATAAACAATTGGTGAAGAGGGTAAAAACAATACCTAGGTTATGAAACAGTCTTCACTCCAAAATTTATTTAGCCTTTATTTAGCTCTTTTCTAATTTTGTGAAATTTTACAATTAATTACATATCAACGTAAACATTTAGGTAAAATTGCATAATTGGGTAACAACCAAATTTGAACTTTGGTGTCGGTTATATTATGATTCTAGGCCCAGGACGGTGTCCTGGTAGTATGCCCATGCAATCAAAAAAAAAGTTCTGAAGAGGAGATAGTCATGCAGTTGGTTGATCTCAAGCGTGTCCTGACCAGAATGGTAGGCCCAATGATTATTTTCAAATTGCATTTGTTACATTCATTTGAAAACATATGAACAAGCTAAAAAAGTACGGAAATTGTTAACTTTCTATTAAAACGAAAAAGGTCTACTACAAAATAATATGATTTTATAACATGATGCAAAATAACTTACATGTAACCAGAGACATATAAAGTAGTATACGTCTCTGATGTAACTGCATGCACTAAAAACAAAATATCATATTGAACTGGAAAAAAATAGTACTGCTGCACAGTTTTGGTCAATAGAATACAGACACTGAATTTATTTTATTAATCGTAAAATATTCCGGAATTCTGGTCCGAGTTTCTTTGGTCGTTTTCCCTTTTGTCATTTGTTGAAACTTCCGTTTCCGTGAAGGAGGAAAATGGCTCAGGCACCGCTTAGCATACCGGCATTATATGCCGAATTGAAGAGATTTGGACAGAATCAGGAATTCGAAAGAGCACTGAAGATCGCAAACAAAAGTACTTATGTTATTTTTTACGTTTTTAAAATTCCCAAAATATCAATTTTACCGTAAAACCAGATCAAGTCATGCTGGTGCCGATGTGGCAGTTCAGCATATGGAAAGTAAGACCCAGAGAGAAGTGCTTTAAGTAGTAATTATTTCATGAGTACTCTATGTATGCCTTTAATATACATAAATTGCTATAACACTCTTGATCTTTTTAAGTTTATGACGTATCAACCGATCGATCACAATTGGTTTTCCAAATTAAGATTTTGGAATCTTTGGGATGGACAATAATGTATCCACTTATGTATCCATTTTGGAAAGGAAATTGAATACTTGAGGAACACACTTCCGTGAATAATCTGCAAATTTCTTGGAAAAACGTTGAAACACAGAGTTTAAAATCTTTTGGGAAGGATCAAAACGTGCTTTTGTTATACAAGTATATTAAAACATATGTACACTGGCAGCTTGATCAGGTCGGGGAAAACCACTTACTTGCGTATATTACTCAAACTCGCCTATTATACGCCAATTGGGGTATGAATTTGTTACTAAAAATAGCCGAAATCCCTTTAATTTTAACTTTTTCAAATTGTTTGTCCAAGTCGCATTTATCTAGTCAGGAAACATCATGCAAATACAAAAATAAACTTTATTTGCATGTGGGAAAGTACCAAAAATAGATGCATTACTTCTGGTAGAGTTACATCAAGTTTCTAAGTAGCGAACGCTTTCAATAAACATCTTTTAGCAAAATATTATTTACCTTGTCGCGAATTAATGCGATTTTTAATAATATATTGCAAAAGTTACTGCTAAAGCCATTTGGGTTATTTTTAGTAACAAATCCATACTCCAACTGGCGTATAATAGGCGAGTTTGCGTATTATACGCAAGTTGGTGGTTTTTCCCAACCTGTTTATTAGTTAAGCGTCCATCAAACGTTAAAGTTTGGAAATCATGGATTTCAATCCTGGTCTGGTGGACTTGACACATTTTCATTTTCCTGCTAAAAATGCTTGAATATTTTATAATAACAATTGAGAATGGTGTTTATTATTATCCCAAAAAGTCACTAGAAGATGGCTGGCATCCACTATTTGTCTCTTAAGTAGGAGGCAGTAGGCCTACTGATTAGGATAAATGCCATCAGGAGAATGCAGTGGATGGCAATATAAGTAATTTTATTGTGGAACTCTGGTTACACAGACTGAGAGAGACCTGAGAATTAACAGTTCTATTTTGTATGCTGAGAAAAAAATCTTAAACTTCATATATAATGGTGTGTATTTTGGGAGGAAACAGAAACCATTCCTTTGTAATGATAATACATTCTGAATGGAAATAGATATAGAATTTTTTGAAAGAAAAAATATCCATGGGGTTCTTATGGGCAAAACTAAATAACACTCTGAAACTGTTAGCGGTACATGTACTGTAGTATCATAATTGGTGACTGGAGACACGATTCATAATAACACTCATATAATATAGTGTCTGTCCATCATCTAATGTGTAAAAACTCTCCAGTTTTACAGGAAGATGCTGGGGAGAGTGCCGCCTTCAACTGTAAAGTTGTATGTCTCGGAAAACTGGACAAATTTGATGAGGCTTTGACTGCACTTCACAAAGCCAAGGGACATGCAAGGTAATGAAATGATCGAGTACCTCTAAGTAATGTTTGGTTGGGTGGCGCAATGGATAGCGCATTTGCCTATCAAGATGGTTGCATTTGGGGGTTTCACTCCCAATTCACACATGAAAAGGTATGGGATCACCTGCCTGACCACGTAGGTTTTCTTCAGGTACTCCAGTTTCCTCCCACTTTAAGACCAACCTGCACACTACCATCCAAGATTGATTAATATAAGTTGATATAAATTATTTCACGATTGCTGACTTGTACAACAAATGTAGAAGTTTATTTTTCAAACTGAATGAGGATTGTCTCCCATTTTTAAAGGGAAAGTGGGATATTAAAGGATATTAATTTCCATGAAAGGACAGAAATGTTTTTGTCAAGGTTGAGAGTCTGAATGTGCTAGATGTTGTGTCTTCAATGTAGTTCATATGTGTTTCTCTTATTTTTGAGTTTGACTTGATTGCCTATTTACTACAATAAAGGATGATGTATGTATGAAAAAAATCATTCCCTTTTTTCACAAGAGCAAACCACTAAAGGAATGTAATCCCCAGAACTCGCGACAGCCTAGTCACTGTACTACTTATCAAGATATTTGTTATGTTGATACTTTTCTGCAAAAGTACAGAGATCAGAATAATTTCAAAACATTCTAACTCCCTAGAAAGGCCTGCAACCTATACTTTTCTTTGAACTATTATAGAAAAAATACATGCAACATAAATTTAATAGAAAAGTAACTTTAAATATTCATATTTATACAGGTCAATATTGATCAATTTTATTGTTACTCATGCTATTTTTTTAGTTAAGGTTATGTGAATGTTAGGTGGTATGAATTGTCAAGATATCCTCCACTAACGCTGTAATGTATTCATTGTGTTGAGACTTCATTATGTGGTCCTGGGTGGTCGGGTGGCACGGTGGATAGTGCACTCGGCTTTCACCGAGACTGTTGTGGAACGATTCCCCGATCTGATGTGAAGGTCATGGGTCACCTGCATGACCACATAGCTTTTCTCAGGGTACTCTGGTTTCTTCTATATTAGGACCCTCTGTGCACTTTAATTTTGTATGGACCAACAAAATGTGTAAATTGAAAAAAAAATAGTTTGACAATTGTTATAGATTAAATAAAACATGTATGATTAGTATGTAGTATCAGTCCCATGAATTGTGTAGACAAATATATTGTAGAAATGAAAGTAAAGAGAATGGATCAAGTTGTGGTATTAATTGTAGATTGGAGGCTATAAAATAGACTTCAGTATTACATGTAATTTACAGTATTACATGTGTATGTGGAACTTTTTCTCATGTTCTTTCGTTATGCTATATAATATCCAGATCATAATATTATGATATAAGTTATTAAAATTTGTTATAAAAATCGGGTAATTCTTTTTGAACATACCACATCAATATTTCAGATTAAACAATGAGAGCATTATGTTTTATAGCGATCTGAAGTTTGAGAAAGCGTACTGTGAGTACCGTCTGAACCGTACAATGGAGGCTCTGGCAACTCTGAGGAGCGTGGAGAAACCTGACAACAGGACCAATGAATTACTGGCACAAGTGGTATGTCTGTAAATATGGTAGCCCAGACATGATATATACACAAGACACTTTCAAACACGTATATATGTGTTTGGAAGGTCTGGAAATTCCTACCAAAGGGCTATGAATTGGATTTACACTATACACCAGGAAAGTTTTGCTCTGTCAAACTTTTGCCATAGGCCATTAAAACCCATATTTCTCGTTCACATTTGATCACTATGTTTAACATGTTATTTATCAACGCTTGCTGTAATGATAAAATCACCCTCTCCAAGAAAAGGTGAAGTTAAACCCTGGTGAACATTTCCCAGTTTACAGTACCCAAGACTTGATAAAATCACCCTCTTGGAGAGGGCTAAGAAAAGGAAAAAGTTAAACCCCGGTGAACATTTCCCAGTATACAGTACCCAAGACTTGATAAAATCACCCTCTTGGAGAGGGCGAAGAAAAGGAAAATCAATACACCATTGGATGAAATTTCTCAATCTTCAATGTATGTTAGTTTGAAAGAGTATATTACTCTCATACATTTTCAACAAATAGTGTACACATTGAATAAAAATGTTGATTCTCACAACAGCATCGATGCTGAAACATAACATCATCTGACTAGAGAGCATAGACTGTACCAAATTAGGTTTCAAAGGTTGAAGCTTAAGGCCTTGTATGTATGTAACTTCTAAATACAACACTACTTGATATACCTTTTGTTCAGTGTGCTGACCAGTGTTTTATCCTTGTAGCTTTACAGATTAGAGAACTACGAGGAGTGCTACCAACTCTACAGGAACCTTATTCAGAACTCTGAGGTATGTTTGTCCAAGTTATTGATGCAGTACAATGGTAGTCTTTAGTTATTATATTCATTCAAATCGTCTCCACAATTTGAAATTAAAAAAATCATGATCCCATTATTTATTGCAACTGTGAATTCTTGAATCAAATATCCCCCAAAAAATCATTCATTTGAAAATTGCCTACAAATTTGAGTTTTGAACAGCGGACAATTCGAAAAGGTGCAAAATAAGATATATCTTTGAAACCTTTGTACTTCTGTTAGGAAAATAACCTTACCTTGGTTTAATTCAATGAACTGAAATCTGATTTCCCAAATAGACCCCCAAATTACAAAATAGTAGAAAACGAGTGTGAAGTAGAACACAATGTTGCTATGTTTTAGGACGAATATGACGAGGAAAGGGAGACAAATCTGTCAGCAGTACTTGCCTCTCGCCAGTTGTGGGATGAAGTAGATATGGTGAGTGCTTCTAAGAATTAAATCGCATTATGTCACATTATAACACATTATATCACACTATATCACACTATATCACATTATATCACATTATATCACATTATATCACACTATATCACATTAAGTCACATTATACTTTTGTAATTACATAATTAAATTGGTGGCAACATTTATTTTGACAGGACGACCCAGGACTTCAGGAGGAGTCGTACGAGATGTGTTACAATATGGCCTGTTATCTCATTGGTCGCAAGGATTTCCAGGGAGCAGAGAAAAAACTGAGGAAGGGGGAAGGTTCATAAACATTTTTACATTTTCTCACCTGGTTTTTAAAGCAGTCTCAAAGGAGCATCACATTCCTACACTGTTGACTTTGTGGTTTTACAATTATCAAGTGTGGTATGTTCCTGATTGGAGTCATTCACAGTAATAAGATTGAAGTATAATATTGGATAAGATAGTGTAATTGAATACTTAGGTCAGATAAAACAGGGCTCACTGTATAAAAAAGCCTTTAAAAGGGCCTCAATGCAGTAAATTTAGTACAAAATTCATTATTATAGTTAAATAATATGCACTCACTTACCCAAGCTTTTTCTTGAACAGAAACCAGTGTAGAAAAAGAAACTAAACTAAAATAAAATTGTACCATGTAGCTTTTATCTTAATTTTCTCCCTTCATACTGATTAAATTTTAAAAAGGAACATAAAATACCAGAACTTGTTGTTTTGTAGTGTTCTGCAGAAAAATGTTTGAGGATGATGCAGAAGTCACTGAGGACGAAATTCAGGATGAACTGGCAATTATAAGGTAGGACCAGGTTTGGAATGGGAATCCTGTGAGCTATTAGAAATATTGTTTTTCAAAAACCTGTCATTTAAATTTGAGAGAGGTTTTAATATAGGGTTTTCTGTTATGTGAATTATCATTGTATGTCTGGTGGTAAGTCCGAAAGCAAAATATGTTTCCTTTATCCCTACCTATCTAAGTTTTGTACACACTGCTGTCCTGTCAAAATTTCTGAAGGAAGTATTATGTTAGGATGAGTGTCCATCTGTCCATGCTTTTCTTTTTGCGAGGTAGCTTGCTTAGATATCAATTGATTTTGATGAAAGTTTTTAGCATGTAAAATATCCAAAGACTTTAGGCTGAGTTTACAGTTGAGCAAAATCCATGTATAATTAATTAGCATACTGCGCTCTGATTGGTTTGAAGTTTCTGCACAGTAACTCAACTAAATATGACCAGCTATAAATATAGCTGAATTCTGATGGAACTTTTCAATATTTATATTATGCAATGACAAAGGCTAAGTTCAAATGGAACACACAATTTTTACACAATATTGGACAGGTGTATATTGTTCCGTCCTGCGGTACTCTTGTTACATAACATTGGACGGGTGTATATTGTTCCGCCCTGCGGTACTTTTGACATAACATTGGACAGGTGTATATTGTTCCGCCCTGCAGTACTCTTGTTGCATAACATTGGACAGGTGTATATTGTTATGCTGCTGTGGTACTTTTATTGGTTTTTCTGGCTAATTTCAAACAAGTCTGTTTAAGTTCGGAACACTGTGACCATACAATGGAGCGTGGTTATTATCAGAGTATTCCCCAGGCCCAATATCCTAGGCACTGTGCCCACCGCTCATTTATACCCTGTTTTGGAAGTCAATGTTTTCTTTTATCCACAAATAATGAATTTAACATCTCTGATAGATATATCGACATTGAGTAGTATATAAATATGTACCTGGTAGTTGGTATACTTAAGTCTTCATACTGTGGCAATGACAACAGAAAAGGGAAAGGTTGATGTTTTATGTCTCTTTGTGACCGAAAAGTTAAACTCATGGCTTAGCCCCCTGTGCTAGAATATTTCGGGGGTGGGGGG